TATTGCTTTGTGTGTGAATGTAAAGGATTTTTCTATAATAATGTGGGGTAATGTAATTTTGTTTCTGTGTAGAGGATGTATGACACTTTTTGAGTAAGAATTGACAAGATAGTATAATCATTAGTCGTGTTTCAACCACATTTAAATCATATATTTTCTGTTGTCCCATATTTGGATACCATGTATATGTAATAATTCGAGTTTACAAAGCAGTAGCGACACAAAAACGGTGTCAAATGCCTTGGTGAGATCTACGAAAATAGCCAAATATTTTTGACCTTCATCCAGTTTTATAGCAACTAAGTTGGTTAGCTCATAGATAAGCATATGATTTACTTATGCGGAAACCATATAGATTTTGCGATAATAGAGAGTATTTTTCTAGATAATGTACAAGTCCATTATTGATAATGCGTTCGAGTATTTTTAAAATAGATTATTTGAAAACTTTTGGAAATTGGCTCATAGTAAGGTATTCTTATTTTGTTTAACAATGCTAGCTGAAATGTTGTTCTAACCTACCGCATGGTCTTTAAATCCATTTTAAGATTTCATTCATATCCATTTCCAACAAAACATGATACAATACATGAACAGTAATTCAGGATATATTTCCCCTTTCCATATAATATCCATCCGTGTTACATTTATATTTTCCGCTAGATATCTAGCAAAATATTTTGATTTTACACAATTAATGGTAACAAAACAATAAATAGCATTTTTGGATTTTAAGTTAGTAATGATACAATAGGAACATATGTAAATAACATGATTGACTTACGTCATAATGCCGAGATTTTTTAACTGATATTACTATGCTTAAAATTCATGTAATACTTTATTATTGTATGGATATATTTGACCCCTTATTTTCTATTAAATATTGATTGAAAAAATATAATATCCATCCGAGAGAATTACATAATTATATTTTTTTCCGCATATATTTTCTGTTGTCCCATATGATGTAATAATTCGAGTTTTGAGATCTACGAAAATTGACCTTCACAGTTTTATAGCAACTAAGTTGGTTAGCTCATAGATAAGCATATGATTTACTTATGCGGAAACCATATGATATAGAGAGTATTTTTCTAGATAATGTACAAGTCCATTATTGATAATGCGTTCGAGTATTTTTAAAATAGATTATTTGAAAACTTTTGGAAATTGACTCATGGTTAGGGTAAGGTATTCTTATTTTGTTTAACAATGCTAGCTGAAATGTTGTTCTAACCTACCGCATCAGGGTCTTTAAATATTTACGAGAGCTAAGATTTCATTCATATCCATTTCCAACAAAACATGATACAATACAGGTGAACAGTAATTAGTAGGATATATTTCCCCTTTCCATATAATATCCATCCGTGTTACATTTATATTTTCCGCTAGATTTTTCCCTATGCTAGCAAAATAAGTATTCACTGATTTTACACAATTAATGGTAGTGGTATCCAATGACAATAAATCGTGAGTTGGATTTTTGGATTTCAAGTTAGTAATAGAATTTATCATATTATTATGTATGCTAGTCATTATATGTACATATGTAAATAACATGATTGACTTACGTCATAATGCCGAGATTTTTTAACTGATATTACTATGCTTAAAATTCATGTAATACTTTATATGAAACGAGCGGATTGTATGTCGTACTATAACTTTTTTGACGACGAAGCCTTATTTTGCTATTAAATATTGATTGAAAAAATATAAAAATAAGCTGTCTGTTTTATCAAAAAAAGTTCTACTTTTCCTAAATGAGTTTCAACAATAGATCATTCAAGTATATGTCATGTCAAATTATATTCAAGGAAAAATTTTTGATTATTATTAATATATAAATTATTATATGTGCATAATAATTTAAAACCAAATAGTTGTTTTCGTCTGTCTGTTTCTCTTTTTCACACTTCTACACTACGATTATAATACGGTTTAAAGAATATATTATTTATAGAATTTGATACAAAAGTTTTGTATCTATAATATAATATACACTAATATATGCATAGTTTACAAGCTCCGTCACATGCACTTTACACTCGAGTGAAACCGAATTGTATCGCTAGTATTATGTAAAATCTAGATGGAGAACAGGAAAACGGAATTGTTATTGTGTGCTACTATTTATAAATTGTTACATTTTGCGTCCTATATATACCATATGACAATGTATATATATACCATATGTAATGTAGTTCACATTTCTCGTTTTAATAAGATTATAATCATTATGTGGTGTAAAAATTTTTTTTTCCTATTTAATTTCCTTACTTCTGGTGTATTATGTGAAGATTATAATGGTAAGTGCAAAGACACCTAATTATAAATTACTATCTACACATGTAATATATATATTATAGTCGTCATGTGATTGGAAAATATAATGACAAAAAATATTAAGAAGTTATTAATTTACATTCTATACGGAACAATTTTTTATATAATATCTCCTAAATTGACTGGGTCCGGGTCAGCTTATATTTTTTTCTAAGTAACTGTAATCACAAGCTAACGGCCCACATGATGGAAAGTAGTATTTGTAGCCTCCCTCTGTGATACCCCATATATGTGTTAAGGTTCACATCGATATTGTAGAAAAATCTATAATTTAAAAATATTTTATGAAGATAGTTTCATTATTACACGGCATCGTTAAATTAGTTACGTATAACCCCTACGCATCTCTGTAGAGGTGGGAGTTTTTGTAAACCACGGCATTCGGTCAACGAGCACAGAACGTGCCGGTTGTATTTTGGTTACTACAGTGAATTTTATTAGAGGCGGGTTTATCCCGGATTTAGTTGGGCCTGCAGAGAAACTACAAGTAGTGAAGGTGAGAGTTAATGTATTCTAAAAATGCCCTATAAACCTACATTCGTGTCACAAGTTACGGGTTTCTCTTCGAGTAACGGGCATCAAAGCCTAAGTCGTCATCATAACTAGTTTGGTTTGATTGCCATTCCTGAGGACTAAGAGTATAACATTTAGATGTGCTAAGGAATGGCAATCGTACCCTTTAATTTCATCTATACATATAAATAAAATTGGATTGTCTGTTTGTAATATTGAAATAACCGTTTTTTACTACATGCATATGAATATAAATATAAGTGTTTATAAATCTAAAATAGACTCCCTCAGAGACAGCTGTTATCAGTTTTCTAAACCTTTCATCAAGCTCACAAGAACTAGGGGTTGTTTTAAGTATGCCGCAGCAAAAATTTGTTCATCACTGATTTTATCCTTACCAATATTTAGGCGCAAATGTAGCAAACGGTTGCTGCAAGAACAATCCCTCGTTTCGTAGTATTGTAATCTACTAAGTTGTGTCGATATGTGTGTGTGTATATATGATAAAATAATCCTGAATAATTCTTAGTTTTTATTTAATGTTGTAACTAATCCTGAATAATGTTTAGATCATATAATTTTATCTTTTATATATATTTAAGTTTGTTATTGTCCAATCTTATTAGTTTGTAATCTTGTTATTGGCAATTTTTATGTTTACTTTGTTAGTTGTAGTTTAGAACTTAACTTAATATGCTATCGTCGTCGTTGATCTCATATTGTATTAACGATAAAGATAGATTAGATAGATTATATTACTGATAAAGGCTATAACAGAATAGCAGAGAGCCGTTTTGTCTCATTCATTAGTTTTAAATTATATTATTGTATGGGTTGTATTGTGTGAAAAGGTTTTGTTTGAGACAAATAAAAATTATTATTATTATTATTATTATTATTATTATATGGTACATACACCAAAATAACATTTGTTACATTTTTTGTCAGTCTGTCTGTTTTGATTTGTTTTGTTCTGACTAATCTCTGAAATCGGTGGACCGATTTTGACGGGATTTTCTTTGGCACGTAGCTGATGTAATAAGGAGTAACCTAAGCTCCTTTTATTTTAGAAAAATAAAGTTAAATTCCACGCGGACTAAGGCGCGGGTACAGTTAGTTACTAATATAATAAATATATTCATAAACGATTCATTTATTATTCCTTAACTATTACACCATTTTGTTCTGCTCTCTGTCTTTTGAACTTAGAATTATACCATAAATATATAACTTATCATTGAGGAATTTATTTTTACAATTGTGAAAGCAATATCTACAGATAATAAATATTATAGAATTAAGAAGACATTAAGAAACGTAAACGTAAACAATACATTTAGTTCTAAAAGGAAGAAACAGACAGACACTCTTCTGAATTTATAATCTGAAATTCATAATTATTTACTAATCATAACATCATATATACTTTATTATTTTCTTTTTGTTTTAGAAACAACGAATGGAATCACAATATCCGAGGGAGATGACATTAATTATAGTTGTTTTCAGGGTAATCATTCTCATAGTAAAATATATTGGAATCAGACCAAGATAATGAACAAGGACAAAGAATTAGGTTTGCATCTGCATCTTCTAATCATTTTTAATAAAATGTTAAGTGTAATTGGCAATCAGCATAATCTGTATGTTTTTTTTATTAACAATAATGGAATTAATAAACCTTGCGTTTATGGTGTGTACAATGACACGGCCTCAATAAAGGATTAAAGAATGAGGATAAAGTCAGGTCGCCAACGTCTTTGTAATGATTTAACTAGAAATTCAACATAATGGTGTTTAGGGGAGCCGCATGTAAATCAACCTAATAATATTTATTGTTAATAATAAAACTAATTTCCTCCTTATATATCAGCCATATATCATATAAATCCTTATTAAGTTGCAATAACTTATAGGTACCTATTATTATATTATACTGATAAGTCTTTATGTACTAATAGGGAATATAATAAGTAACAACACGACTGCTTTACACTGTGTTTATTAACAGACAAGATGGACGACCGTCTGCGAAACGATCCACCCTTACAACTTTATGAGACCTTCATGACTACTAACCCATATGGAGTTGAGAGAGTCATTGTCAATTGTCGATATCATGATGAATCCAAAACATGACATAATTTCACTGAATCCAACAAACAGCAGAGGGCACGAATACCATACCATCTAAAATATCGGTATAATCAAGTCCAATGTAGCAGGGATCGAACCTACCGCCGTCTCTTGTTTTAATTGCTTAGGTAGACTATACAAAGTCGTCTGCATGCGCATGCTGGTCTCACCTATTGCAGCCTGCAAGCAGGGACATTACATGGGTATGAATTTATGATTCCTCATCTGTCTTCCGAAATAGCAACGCATGAGTTTTGCCATGGGCGTTATTATGGTGACATGATATTAGTAGTGCTAATACTAATTCTCATGTTGGCCGACAGCATATTACTCCCATCCGTTTCATACAAAAAATGGTTATTAATCACTGTTTTCATCACCGGACTAACAGAGTCAAACAGAAATAAAAAGATATATATATGGAATAAATGTATATCAACTCCACATTCGATCTCACTAGCTTTCTGTTTATGTCGGGTTGTCACCACTCTATTGTCTAAAACATCTTGTCAATGATAAATAATAATTTATTTATTTAACTATAACATACATTATGTTAACATCTCTTCTAGAACTCTTGGGATCCAAATCAAGTTCGGGTTACGCCTTTAATTACACGGGGAAAGTGTACGAATTCGATAATAATACAATCATGAATTGCTACAGAGAACAGATGAAATCGGAAAGTATGCTGTCCGTTCTTAAAGAAATAAAAAAGATATATGTCAAGCCAGGTGCAGGTTCGTATCTAAATTGAGTCAAACAAGGCGGAATTTTATTAATAAGAATATATACCTAAGTGTTTGTATGTTGAGCGTTCATCTCATACATCTGTCGTCGCTCATACAACTACATATCACACACCTAGCAAAATACTGGATTGACTAAAAAATTATAACTATGTCAAACTTTAACATCAATGTAATGTCAATTTAAAAAATGGGTTAATCCAATATCATACTAGGTGTGTAATATGTACATACCTATACGTATGTATGTATGTATAAAAAATCAAATTCACAGTATTCGTAATCTCTAAACTTCATTCTTATTATGCTTAGGCTTAGGTAATTATTCTAAATAAGGCATGGGGTTGTTACTATCATTCCATAATTTTTTTTTCGGAATGTTTATACCTGTCTACTTATAATACATATATATCGTACACGACCTCTGTAACATAGTACTGTACCTTCGAGGCGTGTCTAGTCTATTACTGATTGAGTTGTATGGTGTAGTTTGCATTGATAATTTAGAATGGAGAACCACCACAGATGTAGAGATGTCGTGAATGTGACAACAATGTGTACAACAGTTTTGTTATCTGAGTTACACCCTTTCCAGAGAATGAGGATTAAATCTTATCACACTTATTAAATCGTGGCAATTTCAAAAGGAGTTTATCAGAATAGAGCCCCTAATACCAATTAGTAACGAACCGTGCGTGTGGAGGAGCTACAGGAACTATATTATAATGCACGGATGGAAGGACTTGTTTTCATGGCAATAATTATTAATTACATATATGATATTCATTTCAGCATACAGGAACATATCTTCCGTTCATTACCATGATTATTACAATTACAATGTGAGCTGTAATAGTAGTACTCACTGGCTGCATATTAATGGTAAGTCATATATCAAGCGCCACTAAAGTTGAACTTCGACTGATTGATTGATTGTAACAATCATGAGAAAAATCAGAAAAAAATATCTATCCCATACAGTTTGAAAATTATGGGCATTTTAGAAAAACCTAGATATTTGTTCTAACTGTAACCATTTTTCGTTTATTGTGGTTAATTTTTATTACTTTTATTCAATTTAACTTTTAGAAAAATTGGGGCAATTGTGTCATTATTTTTGACTGTGGTTCTAGAAATATTGTTTAGGGTTACGGTTCCAAAGTTTAAATGAACAAAAATAATAAAAATTAACCTATTGTGGTAATACCAAAATAAGAATATTTACATATAAAATTCTACCTAATATATCTATATATTAATTATACCAATACTAAATGGATTTATATTATTTTGTTTAATTCCGCTACAATTAGGATGTATGAGACCACAAATATTCAGTGCGGAAACTTGACTACCTTGAAACCTAAAGGCCTAAGGACCGTCGCAATCTAATAATTATTAAATTCCAACCCTTATTGAATCTACACCCATATTACAGTATTAGTTACAATGTATAAAGTAGTGTAATGGCAAAATAACACCTAATTCGATAAAATAAATACTAAGTTGCAACATATTATTATTTACAGATAAAAATGAGATATTACAAGTATCAAAGATGCCAGAAAACAAAACTGATGTACAATTCACGTTACATTTAAACAAGACACATTACAACTCAAAATTATACTGTATTCAATTTAAATGTTCTTCACCGCAACAAATAATGGTACAGAGTTGCATAAGAAATGTTACGGCCGTAACTAATTTTAAAGAAGATAGTAAGTATCTAATTAAAATGTTAATGATGATATCATAGTAATACACGTGGAAGTTTAAATCGATTAATTCGGTTTTCTGATTGGAGACACAAATGTTCAGACAAATTTATTAGAAACGTATAGATACAATACGTTTCTAATAACAACGTACAACCTATACATTATCTATACATATAAATAAAATTGGAGTGTCTGTTTGTAATATTGAAATAACCGTTTTTTACTACATGCATATGAATACGTACATACACCAAAAAACATTTTTTACAATTTTTGTCTGTCTGTTACTCCTTATTACATCAGCTACCTATCAAAAAAAGTCCAGTCAAAATCGGTCCCGCCATTTCAGAGATTAGTCAGAACAAACAGACCGACAGACCGACAGACATAAATTTTTCTCCAACTACCTTCGCAATCGAAGATCGTAAATCGTATTCCGGGGTAATTCAGGAGAGTAATGTGGAGGAGGACCCCTCGAATTTTTCAGTTTTATCAGTGATTTGCCGGAGGTAGTCACTACGGCGTCCTGTCTGTTGTTTGCAGACCACTTAAAATTATTTTTTAAAATTACCAATTTCTCTGACTGTGAGCTCCTTCAGAATGATATAAACAATATCTTTGAGTGGTGTTAAAAAAATCGCTTGATGTTCAGTGACACCAAATGTTCACTTGTAACATTTAGTTGGAATGTGAACACCTATAGGCATAATTATCAGTTGGGTAATACACTGCTAAATAGGGTAAGGTCTACCATCAAAAACATAAATGTGAAATGATAGCCGAGTTTAATATTATGATATATGCCTTGATTGTTGACTTCTACGACAAAAGAGATGAGATCTAAATGGGTGCCAAGTTCAATGGTCTGTCCTGAAATGTATTTATAACAATATAAAATATCATTTCTTCTTATAACTTAGGATAATATACTGTAGCCTAAGGTCTAACTTGGCCAGTTCTCATATACCAATTATTACTTTCGATTGCTAGTTACTACTAATATTAAAATAGGAACCGACAAGTAACATGTTTAGAACTTGCGAAGGCTATTTCAGTATATTTCGTGATATTTTATATTGTTATAAATATTTCATCTCTTTTAGGATAATTTAATAAGCTCACATTTATGTTTTTTGAATTTCATTACTTTTTGCATAAATCGCAACCTAATATAGGTTAGATGGGGTATAATTGTCTTTTTTTTTTGTGTTATTTTCTATATTTTCGTAACTTTTAATGTTCAATGTAAACAAAAATTTTTGGGCAAATCGGGGCGGTATAACGTCTTGAGTGTTATCGCATCTAAGGCTTTATTAAATATAGAGGAGCCTATGTTACGATTTGTGGATAGTAATAGCATATGTTAAGCAAATACGGAATTCTTCTCTGTCAACATATACATTATTTAATATCTGAAACTTCGTATTGACACGTTATAGTTCGTAAAGACGATTATGTAACAAATTGACTGTTATCTATTGAATTCTCAAGAAAACAATTTGCCGAGCGAGTTAACTATACATTCCTACTTATAACGTATTTACTAAAATAATGTAATAATAATATAACCACGCTATGAATTTCCATAAATCGCAACCTTATAGGTTAGATATACAAAACATTGAGTGTTATCGCGAACCGAAATGCCTATTATTTAATAATTATTTATAAAAATAACGATTTTACACTATCGATGTGCGCTAAATATTGAAACAATAATTAATACCAAATCTCAGTTAATAACATAATAAATACGAAATTCGACTATACTCCTAGTTATAAGTACGAGTATATTTTAGACAGAATCTAAATTATAGCAACTAGTGTTTACCGCTCAATGCAATATTTGAAGTTTGCTAGTTATCGACACTGATGTGAAGGGGTCAACGTAAATTGGTGGCTATCGACGTTTTCATACAATATTACTTTCCGTCCAGTACAAGATGAGATTTTTCGCCAGGGGTCAATGTCAATTGGTGGCTATCGACGTTTTCATAGAATTTTAATATTCGTCCAGTATAAGTTGAAATAGAATCAATTAAAGTGAAAAATTGTAGTAAAATGATAACAATTTACCAGTTTCAGATTTTTTCCTTTATATTCACCTAATTACCTATCTGCATGCCAAATTTGAACTTCCTAGGTCATCTGGAAGTGGGTTATAATTTTGATCTATAGTTGATCAGTGATAAAAATGACGATTTTTGGACATTAATATCTAAATAACAGTTTGAGATATGTTTATGAAATTTGGAACACATATTTATCTCGCAAGTCTCAATATATGAACCAAATTTGACAGGTTTGTGTGAAAGAGTTTTTGAGTTATGAGGGGATCAAAAGTGGCTCCAAATGGTTCGTGTAAATATACACACGGTGCTGCAGGCCAGTTTACTTGAAACTCGGCTTGACACGCTGCCGCGTGTCTAGATTAAGATTAGGTATTATTATTATTATTGTTTTTTTCTGTCTTTGGTTTACTTGTGTAATTAGTGTATATGTATGTAATTAGTGTTTATAATAGTATGTATTTGTATATTATCTTCCTAAGTTGGCCATATTGGGAGACTGTAAAGCTCACTTAGTATGACATAAATAAATAAATTGTAAAAAATGGTTTTTTGGTATACATGTACCGTAATTATATTCATATGCATGTAGTAAAAAACGGTTATTTCAATATTACAAACAGACACTCCAATTTTATTTATATGTATAGATTAGGAACACACCCTTAGATGTTGCAAAGAGGCGCCCATTTCGTCTCTAATTTTGTCATTTACTTGAAAGTGACAAAATCACAATATACTCTACTGTTATTAAAACTGTTACATTTTTTTTATAGTTTATGGTCTAATTAATAGTTAAGGACAAGGCAAACTCAGTATAAACAATTATTTTGTTAGACTGTGGGGTAAACAAAATTGATGATTTCTTTCTCTAATATTAGTTACTCCGCTTTATTTAACAATTATTAGAATATTATTTTAATATTGCCAAAATTTGTTGTTGCTCTAGATGCCACCCACAGTGGACAACCGATCATTGTAATGCATGCGGAAAGAGACTCTCAAACAGGTATCAATCTATATCGGAAAGAAATTTTAATATAAGTTAAGGATAGTGATGAAAATAATAATAAATCTGACAAAATGTTTCTACTAAAAGTTGTAGAGAAAAAACTTCTACACAAAACAGATACTAGACTAACAAGAGAAGTGTGTGGCATATACACAAATACAATCTGTAATGTTCACGGTACAGTACAGTCCCCTAAACTAACACGGTATATTAGTTCCGCATTCTTAAAACGCTATTAATACCTAGCAGACAGATAGTGGATTTCAATTCATCCATATTTAATTAACATAATCTGTGTAAATTTCTTATTAATTGCACAATCCAATTGTACGTCAAACTTAAAATATTTTTACGATGTCACTAAAAAGATTTTACGATTTTATTGAAATTTTAACTCTTTAAATCAATGCACACGTAATAATTTAATTTCAAACACAATTAATCATAAATTACAAATAAACAATCTAATTTCAGACGGTAAAAATAATATTGAAGATAATGAAGAAAGCAACATTGTAATACCCGTGATATCTACAGCAATTGTATTATTACTATTATTAATAATATTGTTTTTGTATTGGAAGTCTAAATCGCAATCAGGGAGGAATGATTCAAACCAAGAAAACCTTTACGTATGTTGTTTATTTATTTATGTATATTTCAGCCGGATATTCTTCCATATTATGTTAGTAAACTTATAATCTATGTTAGTGAATGGATATTAAAATTGAGCATCATACATATGTTAAAAATGTATATATATTCCTCACCTCACTGCAATCCAATTGTAACCAGTGGACAATCCAATATACTTGCTCTATTTGTTAGGAGGCTATTTGCGCTCCACCGAAATCTACGCATCAGTTATCAATTATTTTGCTCATTATGGCTTGAAAGCATTTTGCAAACATCCTTGATGTGTAACAGTACCAGGGAATCGTCAACAATATCCTAAACTCATTATTACCTATATTGTACGCGAAGTGCGTTGTATACCCTTTGTGTATACCTAAACTTTAATTTTTTTTACCAAAATTTATTAATAATTTATTTATTTATTATCTATTATTTAATAACTAGTCAAATACAATGGAAAGTTCTAATGCAGTTGCAGAAACAGATACTTCGATCAACATAGCACTTGACCGTATCCTGGAGAGCCATAATGGCAGTCTCGGGCGACAATCCTGGCTCAAAACAAATTGCGTATCGTATATATTCAATTATTTACGTACTGATGTCTCAAGGACCTTCGCATCAAAACGAGCCTACCTATATCATAATTATACGTACATTATTTAGTTAAATACCTAATAGATACGAGTGCATACTATATACATTATATCCTTGGATGTTGAGTTACTGGTGGTACTTCAAGAGAAATAAGAACTTCCACTACAGTGGACAACATTAGAATCCTAAATGACAACAGACAACAACTGACAACTAGCGTTGTATATGATAATAACAATATAATGCATTTACATTATATTGTTATTATCATATACAGTTGATGATTTTTTATGTTTTTACATATAGATCTATTGTGCTCGCCCTTTTTCAGAGTTCGCTACCTAGATCCATTAGGGACAAGAATTGAAGGATATTCTTAGGAGCGATGGTTTTTATCTCCTCAGGATATAGAACAAACTTTCCAAAGGAAATATTACGTTTATATATGAGTGGGCTACAACAGGGTGTAGTGGCGTTTACTCTTCAGTATGGAAAATCTGCAGATTTTTATTGTGCAACATTACATGTAAATACTGTTCACATATAATGTTTACCTACGTGTTTATATGTAAACATTTTTTTTCTAGGCGACTCCTAACGTACTGTATGCTGATTTACAAGAAATGAATGCATCAACGAATACCCAACTTAAAAAAGATGACTCGCCCTATTCAGAAATTATTGGCATTTTGGAACCTAAACGCGTAAGCTACATTTAGTGTTTATTATGTGACCAAGCTGTAGAACTGATTATTTCATGAAATAGTCGAATACTTAAATCACTGAAATTCATTTAAATTGTTGTTTTTTTTTTCGAATTATTCCAATCCTGTTGGTTGTAGCTGGCCTTGAAAGCATTATCGGACCTAAATAGGAGGTTATGTTTAGTCCGAGATCACTGTCGGTATGATCCCCATTGGAATGGGCAGGAGATAAATATAAGGGGGTTAAAGGATTCATCGATTCATTTATGATATATCTAAATATGATACTAGGTATTTTAATATGTTTTGTCCCTTTTTTCAACGTATCATAACAGTTGCAGATAATAACAATTTAAAATTGCATAATATCTATAAATTGAAAGGAAAATTATAATTTTATGTGCCGTATCGGAGCCACTCCGACGAAATCACGGATAAAGATTAGTAAATTAATAGATTTGTCGATGAAAACAATTTTGGCCTTATTGTTTTTCACCACCAATCGATTTAATTTTCGATTTATTGACCACAAACAGCACTAATATTATGATTTAAATGTTTTAGCGAGCTTACCGTAATATTATGTTACGTTCGAATTCTAATAGTATTTATTTTCATTTATGTACTTACAATTAGCAAACAAGCTGACTGATGGTAAGTGGTAACCGTCGAACATGAACAGTACTAAGGAGATCGCATTATGGTAAAGATTAAAGTAGATCTGTATGCCAATTCCATATAAATTCGTTTAGCGATTTTTACGTATTAAGTAAGAAACAATCAAATATACAAACTTTCAAGTTTATTATATTAGTAGGATATGTCCCGGCTTATCTTTATAAAATTTTGTTTCTTTGTATAGAAAGAAGAAGTTCACTACGAAGAAATACAAATGAATAGTCAAAATAGCAAAAAAAGAAAAGGTTGTATATTCAGAAGTATCTAACAAAGGATGCTAGCATTCCATTGTTATTAATATTCATTGCTCTGCAGGCTACACTGGTTACGCAGTCCACGCTGCTAGATTTCTTTATTCACATCCCTGAAGTTTAGCTGTATCAATTTTCAAAAACAAATTAGAGATCTATTGTTACTATGAGCGTGTATTGTTTACTCAATTACTTTATTTGTTGTTATAAAAAAATGGTATATTACGCTATATAAACTAGCCCTAGTGTATGCAGTCAAACATATACATTATTCGTGTGATTTTAGTGTAGTGTAAGTGTAACCATTTTAAGGAATTTTAATTTCTCTGAAAAAAGAGTAAAAGTTTCCCTCTCCCGTACTCGTAGAAACGGACCTGTAATTTTTTAATTATCCTTAGTCATTTTTTATTTACGTGAACTGCTCACGTATAATTATTTGGTTAATTGTCAACAAATACTAAATCTATAATGATTTTGTTTTTTTACGTAAGTTATTTTTAAGAATTATTTATATTATAAATTGGCCTACTGCCGAATAAAGTAACAAGAAATATATTTATAAAAATATTTATAAGGGACTGTAGAATTCATATAATATAATTATAAAATATTATTATGTAATAAAGATAATTATAAGAATATTCACAAGGGACTGTAGAGTTCACAAATACAATTTATATAGAAACAGAGATAAAAACAATTTGTATGTAAATCTAATTTACTACAATTTCATTGTATGCTAGTAATAAGTAAAATTTAATCATTAGGCTAAACACAAAAATAAATACATATATTCTATACATGGTGTATATTTTATTTATTCAAAAACAAAACACTATTCATTGTGCTGTTATATTAATATGACTAGTGGTCGCCCATTGTTTGAATCTCGACCATAATTAATAAACTAATAATTAAAACAAATTAATTTAATATTCAGTAAGACAAATATTAAAGAAGAACAATAATATCCTAATAACAATTTGATCAGAGACTTCATTATCATTACATAGTATAAAACAAAGTCGCTGTCGCGGTCTGTCCGTCCGTATGTATACTTAAATCTTTTTTGTTTTTTTTGTAATAGATAGAGTAATTCAATAGGATGGTTTATATGATAACAATTTGATCACAGACTTTAACAATAATGTATGCAATGTTTTTTATTAATCTATTTTTTATGCCTACTTAAAAAGAATATTAGGATTCTGCGCTACTTCTCTAAATAAACTGCATGTAAATGTGCAAAATTTCATACTACTTCGTACAATTTTCATAAAAAATTTTTATTAAAAGGTTTTTGCTTCACGTATTAAAATATAAATTAACCTTCCAGAAGAAATTACAGAAATAAATATTAAAATGGTTTAGAAGTCTAAAGTATGTATAGAAACTGTTAGTCGAAAACAAAGACTTTGTTTTATATTATAATATTTATTATATAGTCCAAGATCCATGGGCAACCAGAAGTCACGTAATTTTGATAATCAAAATGTACAATATTGAGTACTGATAATGTTAATATGCTATGATTGTATGTCATGCACTACAACATTAATTTATGAGATTCAGTAAGAGCATATAATAGTTTTTAGTTATATCTGCAATCTTCAATTTATTTGTCCATCTCTATTCGATTGTTTTGTGCTCTAATTGCTTCTTCTCTTGCTTTGTGTCTCTCTCGCATACATAATGAGCCAGGACCAGCAACCGGTCAATGCGACCAATTTCAACCCGGTTGAAAACTTTTGTAATTATTAAGACAGTTGTACTATGAAGCCCAGTGAACGTCAACTATGATTCCGAGTGTGGGAGGAACCTCACAATTTTTTCTATTTATTATTGTCGATGACATTATGCACTATAACTTTAATGTTCATTTTAATCATGATATATATGTTAACAAGTTATCTACTGCTATATACATGGTCTAGTATAAAATGTAGACCGCGCTATTAAGTTGTCGTTGTACAAAATATAGATTATTTAAAAGCAAGAACAACGTAACCAGTAGACAACCTGCATAGTCTATTTTTATAAAAAAAAGTATGTATGCGATCCTAAATAGGTATATCTAGCAGGTACTGCATCCAACGATTTTTTGAAAAGGGCCTCCAGTGGTACTAATATTTGTGATCTGTGTGACTCCAACTCCATTCTATAAACTTCGTTAATAATTTGCGTAAAGAAATAAGTTTATCAGAATAGATAAGATATAACAGATATAAGATATAAACTTAGTAACATAGTTAACCATGCCGAAAAATCTCTCCCATCTCTGGTAGTCCAATATAATCGGCATGTCCATTATCGCTTTCAATTTTGATGTATCAATTTTCACCCCTGTGCATTAAAGGATTCCAGTACGTAACCTCATAGACACAAAATTCACACTTTTCGGAATTAAATTTTATTCCCACTTTCTTTGCTGTTTCGAGAAGACACTATGATGTCATCAATAAAAGAGTCTACACCAATTAAATCTTCCAGCAGTTGTCGCTCTCGCATGAAATATTTCAGACGCAGAGATGATACCATACTGTAGACGCATATACTAATACCTGCCGAATGGTGTTTCGAATGTGAACTGATTCAGCATCCAATTTACTAAAAATACTGCGCATCTTTTAGTTCTGTGGTTATATCAGTTTAGCGTGGTGGTTGACGATTTAGCGGTCGTGGGTCAAGACACATCCTGATGCTACTGTTGAAACTATTACTCTGTGTTATTAATTGAAGTAGTCTATGGTATCTGTATGTATCTGTGTGCCCTTTGTGATTATGAAATTAAATGGTGGATGGTGTTTCAATTAGTTTTTATAACAAATTCAAATAGATATCTATAGATACATACAATAAAACTGTAGAGGTCGAATTTCTGTACATAGAAAAAAACCCCAAAAAACGAGTCAGAAGTGAAATAGAACACATTTACAATTTTTTCTAATTTATTGTTTCTCTGTCCGTCTCTTTGTACGGGCTAATCTCCGAAACTATTAGACCGATTTAAATGAAATTTTGCATGGAGGTAGCTTACATCCTCAGTCAACATCTTAGATACTTTTAATCAGGTAAAATTAAAGAGTTCTTTGGTTATGATGGGATAGTTGAATATCTATAGCAATTCATTTAGCTTAGTATATAACCTATTTAAATAAAGTTATTTTGACCTAAGCCAAAAAGTGAGGACGACACGTCATTTATTAATTTTTCATACATACTAAACTTACAAACCTGTGAAGATTTTAACCCTATATTCTGGGTTTCTCATGTCGAGTAAAAAACTATTGTATTTATTATATGTATTTTGGACATTATATTTTAAGTTTAGTTTTAATTATTTATGACATTTATATTAAATTATTATTTGCACAATTTGACCCACTCAACACTTCCTATGCCACGCTCTATTGGGTTGACTGGAAATGTGGATCTCTTTTAGGGATAAGTTCTCCTTTGTTAACATTAGTTCTAATTAATATATCTAAAAAAATGTATTTAATAGCAATAAAGAATAATATAATATAGGTTTAAAATCAGTATTATTTAGTTTAATCAACCAAAGGCTTTAGGAACTCTGAAACTTAATTTCATTTACACTGCCTTCGTCTCTGCAAACAATTACATCGACTTCTTCTACAGGGTAAGATACAGGCACAGCAACGTCCCGTCCTCACCCTGAAGAAGTTTTGGTTTCATCTATGGATGCTGATTCCCTCTCTCAGTATGGTTTGCTAGTGCCAACTATATAATTCGCTGCGTGTGCTCTACAAATGTCATTCCCCATTAATAGAGAATACACTGAAAAATCAACTATGATCCAGTGGAACTAGCCATTGCAGAAATTCTGTTTTTGGTTAGAGAGTTTGAACACAATTACGAGCTCAAGGCAAGATAGCTTTTGCGTAAACACTTTGTTACCTAATGACTAAACTGCTCATACATTGTTCAAGATCCCCATAGATTTGGGCATGAGTGTACACCCGCTTTGTGGTATTTCCACAAACAGTGATAAAACAAACGTTTTAAGCGATTGCTGTTTAATAATCTGGGACGTGTGCACTATGGCACATCGAAAAGTAGTAGAGGCGGTTCATCGAACCCTCAGTGTTCTCTGCAAAATAACCTACCTATGGGCGGCGTATCGATGCTGTTTTGTGAGGATTTTAAACAAACTTTGAGAGCAGTATCACAATGACCATAGAGCAATGAGATAATAGCATGCTTAAAATACCTCAACCCTTTAGCGACACATGTACTTAACAGTGAATATAAGGTCACGGACAGCAGAAAACATAAATGCACATGAATTTTCTGATTTCTTACTAAAAATTGGCGAAGCAACGTATTCAGAAGAAGTAGGGCAAATCGTTTTATCTGATATGTTATAAATAAATATTCTATGTACCTGTGGACATTCAGACATACAAATCCTTACTATTATAATATTATAAATACGAGAATGACTCTGCTTTCCTGTCTGTCTCGATTTTACGCCAAAATTACTGAACCGATTTAAATGAAATTTAGTATACAGATAGTCGAAACCCTGGGTAAGGACATAGGCTCCTTTTTAGTGCGAAAAAGGGTTATAAGAGATTGAAAGCGGAGATGAAAGGTTGAATCAAAGTATTGTCATTTTTAAATAGAACGATAAAACTTTTTTAGTCTATAATATAAAATACATTTTATTTATTTGATCAAGGTCACTATTCCACGCGGACGAAGTCGCGGGCATAACTATTTGATAATACTTTTAAATGGAGTAAAAAAAATCACATAATGGTTTATGACACTAAATGTTTATTAATAACCTTTAGTCGAAATATTGATATTATGTTTATAATTAATAATTAGTTAATTTACAGCTAAACAAGGTAAGACTATCATTAAGGGATCTGGGGGTTTTGATGCCCGAAGATCTTACATTCAGAACTCACACTATGCACTCAAGTATTCAGAATCAGAAAGTTATACCCATTACGTCTAAAATAATTGTATTATGTTATAAGCATATAGGTACCTATTTGCATATCAAAAGAGCTTCATGAATATGACATAAGCGAACATGTATAATTAGCCTTACATGATCAACGAACAGGATAATTGTATTTTTTTCCTTAATTAATCATTTTGAATCATCAATTCACAATATTGTTCTAGTTTAACGACCACACACAACTTATTCAAATTATATATATATTTCAGAACACAAGCGTGGCATGAAGTATGTAGTGAAAATATTATTCTAAAAGTGATGAATCTTAAAATGTGTTCCAAATATTTGCTTTTATGCCTAACAATAGTATCTTACGGTAACAGTCAAGAGTGTGGTAATAAATTATTTTAATACATAGTAAATTACGGGTGACGTTCTCTGTGACATCATGTTTGAGATGTTGAAATTTTACGAGTTACCATCGTTATCTAGTTAAAAAATATAGCCTACACTAGGACGTTTATCGTCATATTTTATTCAGATTAGTTCAGCAATTTAGTCGTGAAAACATCATGTATAGACAGACAAATAAACTTTTGAATTTATAATATACTCATCATAATGAATAGACCTCTTACAACACAATACGATTATACCCATACAATTTGCCGATATAGTGTTTTATGTACCGAATTTGTGTTAATTTCTTCTACTTGGGTACCTATGTCTCACTTATATCAGCCAACAAGCAACTTGCTCAGTAAACATAAACTAACATTCCAAACGTTACAATAGGAGAATGACCAATATACCAATGAAGTTACAGAATACGGAGGTATT